TAGTTTAAAAAACTGACAGAATAAAAGTAAGTTGATTTACTTACTATTATATTTTTCGTTATTGGCGCAGAAACCATACAATAACTCCAATAACGATTGTAATATCTAATACTTCTTAAGTTGGAAATCCAAACAAGAATCTTATATATGTGTAAAGGAATCGAATGGCTTTCTCTTTTAAGGATGAATTGTAGCAACCGTCAAATTGTGTATTAATTACAAGAAGGTTAAAGATTTAGAAGAACAACATGAAGTTTAAATCTAGCTATATAAAGTGTATCACTCTGTTCAATTCATCAGGAGGATTTTTTTATTATTATTAAGTTTTGGTACTCTCATAAGTTTATTATGCGACAATACAGAAAAACATTTTGCGGATTTACTTTATAAAGCCCCCCCCCCCAGTGGCACAGCGGTATGTCTGCGGACTTACAACGCTAGAAACCGGGTTTCGATACCCGTAGTGGGTAGAGCACAGATAGCCCATTGTGTAGCTTTGTGCTTAACTTAAAACAAACAAACATACAATACTTTATAAAGTTTAATGCATTTTAGGAGGTAAGCAGGGTTATTTTTTTCCTTCCTCATATCGGCAATGCTCTCTTATTTGACCGAAAATCAACAAAAACTACTGCTCTAACCTAGTGGTTAGCATGTCGGGCTGATGGTCTAAAGGTCCAGAGTTCGAGACGTGATCCAGCTGCTGGCTGGCTGGCTGCCTTCTCTGTGGTCAGTAATTTAAAACTATCGAAAGCTTGATATATACGTCACATTAACACAGGGTTAATATTTTATTTTTACTTGCTTTTGCTTTCACTGTAAAAATATTTTTGCTTTAACCATCTACAAATGATACCCTGTTGGGACAGCGATAAGTCAACGGAGTTACGACACTAAACTCCTGGCTTCGATTCCCCGCGATGTACATATTAGATAGCTCACTATGGTTTTGCTCTAAAACAAACAAACATTAACAAATGTATAAAATTTCACGATTCAAAACTACCAACTAATCAGGAAGAAAAGTATTTACACATGGATTATTCTCTAGGTGAAATTCGTTCTCACTAAGTGTGAGCTTGTTCTGTTTGGTGTGTTTTGCCGCGCACAGCTAGCTACTTGAGGGTTAATCGCGCTAGCCGTCCCTAATTTAGTAAATAACTAGAGTTTTTAATTGTATATTTTACTTTTAACTTATACGGTAAATTATTGTACATTTTTAAACGTTGAATATCCTTACTTATTTTATGAAATATATGCACAAGAATGGTCATAGAATATACTGATGTTGATGTTGTTCTAGCTGACTATATTCCTTGCCATCTATTGAGATAACACCCGTTCTGACTACACATTCTGTACAAATGTAGACAGCAGTGATAGTTGAAATGGTATATCGAGGTTATAGCCTCTTCTGTGCTTGAACGAGAGTGGCCAACACTAGTAGCTCTGAGTAAATCTGATATTTACTATGATTTAACGTCGAATTTAGACAGTCTGGCAAATGATCAGTTTGAGAGGAAGTTACCTAATTCAGAACAATCAACCGTCCCGTGTCTTTAACACACACATTATGGTCGTGTTTTAAGTGTGAGTTAATAAAATATTGTACATTTGTACAGTTCTTTATCTCATTCTTACAAACCTAGTTTCTCAGAGATTCATCACTACTTTAAAATAAATATCTTTGTAAACCTCCTGTTATTAAACGGACCTATCTTATTGCTCTAAGGTTAACAAAGTTTTACCTGGATATACAACAGGCTTTAATTATGTACTTTTAAAAACCCGCAAAAATCCTCAGATGATTTTTTTAATGAAGTAATTCCTGAATTTGATGTTTGATTTAGTAGATTATCTTTTTTGTTGCTTTGATTTCAGTAAAGTTTCTGCATTTTAGTTTCTCGAGTGTTGGTAGAATTTTGATGAGTATAATTTATTAATGGTAAATGTTATATACTTTACCGACATATTCAAAATAACAGTACTGTTCTAAGATTCATTTTATCACATTTACTTATAGTTATTTTAATTATTTTTTCCAAGCTATTTTAATTTCTTCTTTACGAATAATTTGAATTATAGTTAGACACTGATAATCTGAGCTATACAGAGTCGTTGTTGAAAGAAATTAACGCTATTCCATTTATTTACTTGAGTTTTGTTATTACTAGAAGACTCTCTTGATTCCTACCAAATAAAATTCTTGCAAAACTTTAAATATAGTAAATTTAAAACCAAGAGTTAAAATATTTAGAATTTCAGTCAATGAATAATCAATTATTACAGGATAAGGTTGTTATATATATTAACTCTATAATTTAATTAATTAATTTTATCAAATTAATTTCTCAACATTGTACAAAAATCTTATCATTTTTATATTTATAAGGTTTCGAAGATGTAAATAATCTGAACTAATAGCTTGTTGTCTTAACAAATCATCATGGCCAGGTGGTTAGGGCGCTCGACTCGCAGTCTGAGGGTCGTGGGTTCGAATCCCCGTCACACCAAACATGCTCGCCCTTTCAGCCGTGGGGGCGTTATAATGTGACGGTCAATCCCACTATTCGTTGGTAAAAGAGTAGCCCAAGAGTTGGCTAGCTGCCTTCCCTCTAGTCTTACACTGCTAAATTAGGGACGGCTAGTGCAGATAGCCCTCGTGTAGCTTTGCGCGAAATTCAAAAACAAACAAACATTTTAAACAAAGAACCCAACATAAACAAACGAAAAATCAAGGAATTCATCTTAATTGAACAAAACAACTCTACTCTAAACCAACACCCCTGGGTGCCTAGATACCTCTTCTAAGTTTTGCAACAGTTCCGGTCATGTGACTTCTTTGTTCAATACTGTATAAGTGAGAGATCATACTTAAAAAGTTATACATTGAATAACAAAGATAAACATTTAGACTTGCACAACCTCGATTAATTGCCATGATGAATTCAAATTCGATGATGGGGAACCCAATTTGAGACTAATAATGATTGGAGAGGGCTTGAATGGGTAATGAAGAAAAACTTTAATATAAGTTTAACGTAACAGCAAATGTACAACGTTTCGACAAGGTTTTGTCATCATCAGGTACAAGTAATTTACACTGACACGAATATATATGAATCCACCACCATAAACCAATCATACCATGAAACTATCTTTAAACTTCGTAACCTGAATATAATTTGTGAAGGTCAAGTTATCAAAAAACTTAAACCAGTTTTCAGGTATTATCCAAAACATGCAGAAAAAACTCCTAAAAGCATTCCTGAATTTCAAATATCAAGAACTGGACTATTTACAAAAACTCAAACAGAAATTAGACCACCAACTAGCCTGCTACCTCAAACCAGATGATTACAGCAATATACAACACGCTATCAAACAAAACAACTCATTGTTGAATCAAGAAAAGAAGTCCATAAACAATAAGAAACTAGATCAACTAAGGAAGCTACAACAACTTGGAGTGAAATACAACAATGCAGCTCAGCCTAACCTTGTAATCAACAAATCTGACCGGACAGACTTTTATTACAGGCAACTACAACAAAATGTGGTTTCCCAAAGTTCCCAAAAACTGTATTTTAAATAACTTTTTTAAAGAATTCTCAAACAAGACTATTAATATAGTCAACCAATCCCATAAACTGAAAAGTAACCTCACAAGTAATGAGATCAAATCCATTTATAATCCGAAAAAAGACACTAACATTAAAATTCTAAAAGCTGATAAAGGCAACACCACGGTAATCACGAACAATTCAGAATACATCGACAAAATGAACGACATCCTTTCCAATAAAAAGAAATTCAAAGCCATCCCAAACAACCCAACAAACACGCACAAAAAACAACTGAACAGAACTTTATTACAAATGAAAAAAAGATAATTTAATTACTGACGATCTTTATTTTTATCTACGTAAAACTGATTCATGCACACCACAAAGCACTCCTTCATTCATACCAATAAATTTCCACCAGCTGTTGTTGAAAAACTCTCCAACATTCCCCACAACAAAACTCAACTCACGAACAAAATTGATACTAACAAACCTAACAACAGAACGTTACACTAGCAG